GACTGATATGAAGAATCCATCAAGGCACGGTGATGTGCTATAAGACAGACACTGTATGGTGTCATTCCGTGTTGACAGGAAGTCATTGAGGTCGGAACACAGGTCACAGCTCCCAAATAGAAGAATCACTTCCGGAGCTGAGCTGAAGGACCAAAAATAATCATTATTCCTCATTTCAAAACATATTTTCATTAGATCTGTAAATGTTTTCTGGCTAAATTTGAAATTGTTTTCACCCTCTTTCTCTACCCATGTGTCCACTTCAGCACCATTTGAGTCGTCAACACTAGAACGGTTGTTATTTGGAATGAGGCTTACCGATACTGTTGATTTCTTAACCAATCCTGATGTGGATGGGAGAGACATGTCTCCTATCTGAGACATCAAATTTCCCTCATCTCTAGCTGTGAAAGCAGAAATGTTCATCTGGTCACTAATTAAAGAGTTATCACTGTCCGCAGATTCCAAATACTCGAACCTAGATGTGTTTGGTCGAGTTGACAGTTTATTTCTTTCAACAGAAGAAAACAGGCCAGGAGTAGATGCAGCGCCAAAGTACTGCACAACCATGTACTTCAGTTCTTTGTTGATCGGGATATAGACACAGCGACGGAAGTCAACACTATCTGCATCTGCACAGTCAATAGTGAAATACACTTTCTCGAACAAGGGTGAAGGCTTGGGGTACTTTTTCTTGCCATTGTTTCTCCACCGATAGCCATCATAGACCCAAGTTTCTGTAAATGAAAGACAAAGCTTATTACTATTTTGATGAATGTGTGACCTTTGTTTAGCACTACGTTTCTGTAAAGCATTATCAATTAATAAAAGCTTATTGGATCAGTACCATTCCCAGTCAAATTGTTGTAACAAACACATTTCCAGATACCATCATTGATAAAGAGTAATATCTTTAAATATTGTATTGCAATCACAAACAACAGATTCATGACCATGGCTTGAAAAATCGAGTCGTCTGCTCATATTGACGGTTGGTGGCAAGTGCAGGGCAAGAAATTCCAATTGTATTAATTCATCTCAAATCGTTTCAATAAAATATGCAGGATAATTTTTGAAGATAAAATATGTTTTTATTTTTTATTAATAATTACGAACTACATGTCGCTCATATCATAAATATATGGAAAACATGGCAACTTTCTGTTGAAGAAATATACAAAAGGTGTGTTTATGCAGCAGGTGTCTTAACTATTTTTTAAAGGAAGACAAATATATTTATTATTTTTGTTGTAAGTGACACGTTACTGATTCTCAAATGTCAAAGCGAAAGTGAATGATTTTGTGAGGGTAATGTCTCTTTTTAATCAGGCATGGTGAGGTTGATGAGAAAAAACATGATTTGATTACCATACAGGCCAAAATATGAATGTATTTTTTAAAAAACCAGCATGACTGTGAAACACCAGAATAGGCTTCACACATTGTACCAATGTGGGGATCAAACTTTTCCCTTTACCATTCAGAACAAATGCTTTAACCACAAGGTTATCCCACCCCGAACCATCACTCCCAGCTCACAACAGTGACATTTGTCGAAGTTAAGAGAAAGGTAGTGGTTCTGATGATACTATGAATATTCATTGATACAGGCTTTGACTTAAGCCATTAATCCGTAGCCCGAGTCTATTAAAATGTAGTTGTGTCTAGTATAAAGCTTTACTAATAAAAGTCCATACATTAATACCAAGATCTACTGAAAATGATGTCAGTTGACAGGTTCGATATAGTAGACTCAAACATTTTGCAAAGACTGCTGTTATATTCAACATAATCACAATCGCAATAATTATTTTAGACAGTAATAGAACTTGTTACATTGTCAAATGAGGCAGCTTGGTTTACAATCATGTACATGTAGCATAATATCCATTAACCTGTAAATGGATACCCAGTGGTCTCATCAAACAATGAATTTGTTGGGGAAAAAAATTATTATGTCTAATCCATTGAAAATGTCATTAGTGTGGCATGGTATCAATGTCAAATATTATCATTTTAATTTGTCATCCAAGCTGTGATCGCTCAAGGGACAATTGCAATGCTTTGGAGCATTAATAAACAGGCTTTGTATTAACCAATTGTGGGGATTCTGGATAAGAATATAGATCCCCAGCAACCTATGTTGTAAGAGGCCACTAAATGGAATTGATTAGTTGCATATCATTGAATCCCAATTGTGTGGACTGAATTTGATGTTCATGATGTCAATCACTGGATTGTTTGGTCCAGACCCAATTATTTCCAGACAGCCGTCATATTGTTGGAATATTGCTGAGTGTGGCATTAGACAATCACACAAAACTTGGTATCAACAGTGATGGCTTACTTTTATCCATGTAAGTCTGTTCATGGTGGTAGACATATACCTCTCCTGCTTTAGGTCGGTAAGGTGGCTTTGTGCTCACTCTCTGAAGATCAGGATTTGCTGAAATAAAAATTTCTTTGTAATCTTTGTAAATTAGTCAAATTTTTCACTATGAACATGATTAGTATCATGAATATCTGGTATCAAGTTAATGGCTAATTGTATCATATTTAGTGCTTATCTAATATACCAGCATGATCAGTACCAAATATACAATATAGCTCATATATCTCATCATGAATTTTGTTAAAATTCTGTCATGCACATGAATAATGTTGCAAGACAGAATTTTAACAAAATTCACATTTCAAGATCTTTTGAAACATCAGTGTTCAAAATTAAGTAAGTATGAAAGTCAAAGGTCCTTGTCATAACTGTAGCATTAACAATTACATATTTTATGGGGTCTTCAGATCACAACACAGTAGCAGAAAAAATTTAACATGTTCAAGGATCCCAGGACCATCCTTCATTATTGTATATATAATACTGATTAAAGGGACAGTATGTTGACGGTTCTGTTTGTGTTAATAAATCATGCATGAACTACTTTCAAAGTGTGACGTCACATACCCAATTCAATTCTCAAACCAAAACAATAGCGTTCCGGACAGCAAAGTCGACAACGTAAGCGATGTGCAGATAAAATTGGCTTCAGTCATGCTTTTTATTAGAGGCAAATCGAAAAAAAGCTTGTGTGTTTTTCATATGGTACAAAATACTAATTTCCATCTTCATTGGATTAGAAGCCATGCAGTGTTCATTAGAGCTGTTACAATTCACTCGCGTATTTGGTGAATCGAACCGTATCCATTCATGAATTGTATTCGTTATTCGTGACCAATAGAAGCGAATATCTATGAATATGCAGTCATGTTCATTTACATACCCTGTGTCTAAAAACATCCATAAGAACATATGATATGCATAGATTTCTTCAAAGACAACACTTTTATAATATTTAATTTGACAGTAGTGTGGTCACTGGTCATTGTCGCATTTGAGCAGATACTAGTACCTGGATAAGTGAAGTATATAAATGTATAATATGTTAATAATTAACAAACCATGTCAAATAATTTGTGCTGCTTTTGTTTCATTGAATAGAACAAATAATCCATCAACTGCTGACTTGTTATTGTATTTATGAATAAATATTCATATTCATTACACTATATTCATGATACAAATCGTATTCGCCTCATAGTGTATTCATTGCAGCCCTAGTGTTCATCAAAGCCAAGATGACAACATAAATATGCCTCAGACGGAGGAAGCCAATTACTGTCCCACCCAGCCTTGTACCTCTGTCACATCATCACATCTTAGGCAGTCCATTCATGTCTTTTACATCTGTTTGATTTTGGACAAGTCATACACATTTATATAAACATAGCTATCATTGAGAAAAGATCCTGAAATGTGAAAAACTATTTCTATTTGGGTATTTTAAAACCACATGCTGCCTTCGAAGCCCTATGTACAGCTAGTGATACCGTCACTTTGATGTATAAACCTATATTGTCACGTACCTCACTGTCGCAGTTATAGTAGTATGTCAAAATAATTATGCAAAACAAATGTAAAGCACACCGAAAGGCTTGCAATTAGGCCCATCTGTTCTTATTTGAGAATAAGTGTGCTTGTTTACAAACAAGATAAAAGTCGGGTCATGTGATAAGCCAACATCCACGGTGTAGTTACTGGAGCAGAAATAATTCTCTTGCAGAAAAAGGCCAGCAGGGCTTTTGTTGTTTACAAACAAAGCTTCAGGACGGTTGGCCTCCTGTCCCTTTAAGCATGTTAAGCAAGAGAATCACAGAATGTTAAAAACGTTGACCATACAACTAGAATATTTAATAACCTTAAGAATGTAAATATACATACCAACTATTTCCAGTAGATCTTCCGGTGACTTGAACGGTTGATCTTTGAAGCTGTAGATAACAGTTCTCCTCTCTGCAATGCTCTCATTACTTCCAAGGGAAATTTCCATTGTCTGTTTTTTTCATCTATATTTCAAAGCCTTTCCTAAACTGATTTCCAATTACGTCAGTGAAGACTTTCAATCTCTGACAACTACTATACAAGCATCATAATATTCATAGCACAGTGATCTTAGAATAGTTCCTTGTGTTTCTTGGCAATTATACCATGCAGGCTACAGAGGAAACACAACCAATTTTCAGTATTTTATTATTAAAATGTATAGTTAGTATAATTTACATCTATGATACAGTTTGAACTTATACATTTTGTGTCATCAAGTAAAAAACATGCACTGGAAATATAACAACGGATCCTGGTAGAATACCTAAAGCTACAGAAATCTGTGTTTTCTGCTGAAAATGTCCGTTTCCGTTGTTTCGTGTACTTCCGGCAGTGTCAATTCCAACTCTTTCCAGGTCACCAAAGGTCAAATCTGGATATATTATGCGAAAGGCGGAATTGCATGGATTGCACGACCGAAATAACGTGCATGGTCTGCTGAATGCACATATCTCCGCAAACAAACGAAGGGACAAATTCATTCTGAACTGTCTCAAAACGTAAGGCATATTCAATAATATATCACACTATACTCACTAGGTATAGTAGTCGTTATGAGACTTACCTGATCCCAACGCATCCATTCCTCAACTTTTGCGTCAATGTCAGCGTTTCCAGTTTTCATATCCTCCATTTCGAGCTGATTCTACCGACTGCCACGCAGGCAACAGTGTATGAATGATTCAATTGTAGAGTCAACTTGCATCAGAAGCTGAAACTGAACCGAACAAGAGCAGGAAGGGTGAACACTTGAACTATGATGAAGGTCGCCTACGAATGTCAAGGTCAAGGTCGATTCCAATTTCCACTGTCGATCAATAAAGTTGTTCTTTTTAAGAATCGCACTGTTTATATTTTAATTATAGCCTTGGGATTCCACTTTTGTCGATATCGTTTTGTTATATGATGGGATACAGTAATGTAAGTTCTAAAGACGTGTAGTTTACGACATGCCAGTTTACGGTAGCGACTATCGGATTGGGTTCCCGGTTGTCTGGGCGCATCGTCAAGCTTCTCACAGCGATATCCCGTTCGCGGAGCTCTCTACACATCTATAATGAGAGTGTAACGAATGTGTCGAGCGCTGGGAAGGAGCTTGCGTCTACTCGCGATATGAAACCGGGCCAAGCTTAAAGCAGTACATTTATTTGACAGGTACTCGCGCATTGAATACACCGATTTTAGTGTACGCTTTTGGCAAAGAAGGAATATTTATATAACGAAAAGATAGCCTCCATGCAGATATCTCAAAATGGAAATCGGCGAGGTGATGTGGCGGAAGATGCAATTTCCAGAAAACTTCAAACGACGTGTATGAAAATCATTCTGACTGGAAATAAACAGAGAATGATGCAGGTATATTAAATTAACTGAGCAAAAATTCGTAAACGTAATCTGAACGGAGCCACATTTTTGGACGGGGGGGGGGGGGGGGGGGGCAAATATTTTTACAAGTATCACTTGTCCCAAACTTGTATTTTCATGATTCAAATAAAACTGTTTTCTATAAACGGTGGATGAGTGGGTTAGATCGCTGACTTATGTGCTGGCGATTATATAACAGGTGCCTCTCTGGCGGTGTGGTTTCGAACCCCCGACGGGACTCGACCCAAAAAGGTACGAGAATCTGTTTTTTGCATTTTACCACTTTCTTAATGGCATTGTGTGTTCATGTATTACTTTGTTTCTGTTGCTTCAGTAAAAACTCATTGTATTGTGTTTGGACAATGATTAGATCTAGTTGTAACGAATGTAGAACTATTTAATGTAAGCAGTGGTGAGGAAATTATTATCTCCCGCCACGAAGTGGAAGGAGGATATAGGAATGGTTGCTGTCCGTCCTGCCTTCCGGAGCAGATTTCGCCAAACTTGGCACATAGATAGATGTAGAGGTAAACTGGTGCTTTTTGAAAGTTTGGATTTAAAAAAAATAATTTTTGGAGCTTCCATAGCAACGACTTTGACATCGACTGAAAAATGGCAGTAGTGCTCGTTTCCGGAGGGCTAATGCCTTGCACACAACCGATACGATGACATGCATCAACCAAGTCAGCAAGCCTGACCACCAGATCCCGTTAGTCGCCTCTTACGACAAGAATAACCCCTTTTTTCAGTATGCATGGGAGTTTAAATGTGTCTGTAAACACATCCTATATTTTGCACGTGCCGCACACAGTAGCGCCACAAAAGTGCGCGGGTTGTCTTTCCTGATTTTGACACTTTCAAGGAAGGTCGATATATCTCTCTGGACCATTTTTTGTGTCAATAATATTCATTCTCCTTATCATACAGTTGTGATTTACTTGATTCATATATTGTTTGTGTATGAACTAGCAATTCGACGTCTGTGTGTTTGTTTGTTGTTTAACGCCGCACTCAGCCATATATACCAGCTGTATGACGGTAGTCTGCAAAAAATCGAGTCTGAACCAAACAGTTCAGTGATTGACATCATGAACATCGATCAACGCATTTGGGATACGATAACATGCATCAACCAAGTCAACGAGCCTGACCACACGATCCCATTTGTCGCTTCTTACGACAAGCATAGTCGCCTTTCACGGCAAGCATGGGTTGCTGAAGACCTAGTCTAACCCGAATCTTCAGGGGTAGATGCGGCGTCTGCATCGCGCAGAACGTCTACGCGGGCTATTGGCATGCTGGAAACTGACAGAGGTCAGCGTGCAGTGGCCAATACGTTCAGAGTTTCACAGTCTTTCCATTTTAGCAGACTATAGGAACCAACAAACCCAAAATGTTGACGATTGACCCCGTTCAGGGCGTCCGAGCTAAAGGAGTACAGACAGGATCGATTGATCCGAAACCAGACTCTATATGAAATCAAGCTCAAACGGCGAATCAAATTGCTGCAAACTTTCATCAGGCTACACTGGAGTACGAGATGCTAGTCAGACGTTTAGAAATCGTCTTCATGCACCTCATCCCCATCTCAACGGCCACGCATTGTGCCGCCCCTTTATATTTACAAATCGTCTTATAACCAAAAAACGTCAGTGGTGTATATACACAACGTTGAAACTGAGGTAATCGTCGCTGCTCACGTATCACTAAAAATGACAGCGCGAACCCCACTCTATACTAGTATTGTACATGCAAGGGTCACTGGACGGTACATATCGTTTTGTATGTAATTATACAACGCCCGTGCTCACCATGCACAAATCATCAGTGCTCACGCCCTAGGCCGCCGACATGTTGGTTGAACTTGGCCAGGGCTGCAAGAGGAGTGGGAACGACTTTGAAATTTCCAATCTTACCCGGTCCGGGTAACACTTGACAATTCATCTTTCAAACTTTAGTTTTTTTATGAATCGATGTGTAGGCTATCGATGTATTCATGCGCACGTTTTTTTGTGTGTGTGAAAAGGCGTAAAATATATAAAAGGGGTTTTCATAGTCCTGCACCATGAACGTGGAATATATTTATTTTATGAAAAAATAATAATCTAGAAATGCATACAAAAGCAAGTCTAGCCAGCTCAAGCTAGCTCTATTCCACTGAAATCAGCATAGGGAATTTTTTTTATTTTTAGAGTCAAGAAGGATATTGTGTAATATAAGATTTCAGAGACTAAATGTTAGGCTAGGGTTTTCATAGCAAAGAGGAAACCTTTTTTTAACCAATCAGAATCAAGCATCCTTCAATGCCATGGTAGAATGTACGATAAACAATTTCTTCATTGTTCTTGGGATTTATTCATAGCTATCTTATATTTAAGAAATAAACGACTCGTGGTCGTGTTTATCGTACAATAAAACACTGCAGGGAGAATAAACCATGTGGGGTACATCGTTCTTTCATTATTGTCAAACAAGATGGCGCATCCACATCATTTATCGGTGAAACAGTTTCTTAATAAGTTGTCGAAAATTTGAAAATTATTACCTCATGCCGCGGGGTTTCCCCAAACATTTGCAAACTACTGTGTCCGGGCAACGGCAATGTCCGAGGCGGACGTTTGTGTCCGAGGAATGATGTATGTCTCTCTTGACAAAGGAATGAGCCATCCTTCAAAAAATTTCATAACCACATGTGCACCTGTTGCTCAGCGTACGGCATTTAACAATATACAGCAATCAAACAAAATGGCCGCTGCTGCTCTTCCTCCGCGATGTTCGTCCCCACGTCGACGCCACGCCATGCCCTGTGCCGTCGATTAACGTCGGGGACGGGATCATGTAGTGCAACCGACCAGTTGCTGCAGTCTGCTAACATAAGTGTTGGAAACAGAGCTGCAACTTGAACTTGCAACAGAAGCTACATCGAATTTCGGTTATGTTTACATAATTTTCGAGTTATACGTGATTAATTTGAAGCAAATTATTAAACATTTACTTTTAAAAATCCTACTTATAGCTGCATGGGTTGATTGATAACCACAAACTGAACGGATAATGAAGTATGACCTATTTGAATAACAAACTATCCATTTTAGTTGCGTACTTTGTGTTATCTTTAAAACGTAAATATGTCTCTTTAACGTAGTGCAACCGACAATTTGGTGGAACAGCCCGTCAGTTAGCCCTGTTTGTGGATTTTAAATTTAAGGCACCGCTCGTTACAGTTTTCCTTTTAAACCCACCTTTAATAAAACACAAGGTTATTCTTATATTCGGCATCTTAGAAAAGTAAAAACGTTTGCACTACCCCCAGGTATTGTACGATAAACAACGACCAAGAGTCGATTATATCTTATATAATGTATATTTTTATACTGATGTAAAAGTTTGAATATCATTTTATTTTGGAAGTTATGATAGTGAAGTAATACTTCAACACTTGGGTATATGGTTACCACATGGTTACAACATCCAAAGTTTTGCGTTTTCCGGCGTTTTAAAAAAATGTTAACATGGCATATTATTAAACGATGATAACACTTATACATGTCTTTAAGCTGGCAAAAAATTCAGTATTCATGACCCTTATGTACCGCAGCTTACAATAGAAACATAAATTCAAAGGACACGAGTCACATTGGGCATTTGTACGATAGATAATAGGCCAGTTACCCACATTTTAGCCATTAGCATATGTGTTGACTTTAGTGAATGTCATTTATAAACGTTTTGCGGCTTTCAAGTAATTTTATACTTATTTCATCTTGAAGTGTTTGGAGTTATCTTTTTAAAGTATATATATAGAACAGGCAGCATTTTCAACATCTCGATTCACTTTGACCATATCTCAAACCTCCCCCAAATCGTACTAAAGTGAAAATCACATTGCAAAAAGTGGAGACAAAGTATCTGGTCGGTCTTTATTGCAGTATAAACTGTTTATGTCAGTTAGAACATAGTTAAGTTTGTTCGGAAATTTTCATTTATGTTATGTAATAGCGGGAAATAAATTTATTACCAATACTGCAAGTGCATTAATATATTAAAGCATATTCATCGAGTGTTGTAAATATCTCATCTCTCTCATTTTTCGGAGACCCGTGAAAATCCGGTGTAGAATAGGTCTTCAGCAACCCATGCTTGCCGTAAACAGCGACTATGCTTGTCGTAGGAGGTGACTAACGGGATCGGGTGGTCAGGCTCGCTGACTTGGTTGATGCATGTCATCGATCGCAATTGCGTGGATCGATGCTCATGATATTAATCACTGGATTGTCTGGCCCAGACATGATTGTTTACAGACCACCGTCATATAGCTGGAATAATGCTGAGTGGGGCGTTAAACAACAAACCAACCAATCTCATTTTTCCATAGGAGATAGTTCATTAACGTAAAATGGCCACCGTAACGTTAGCTTCCCAAACCATAAATAGAAAGTATAAAGTTAGCAGCAAATTCAAGCTTTTAAGGTTTCTGTTCCCTGAAACATTTTTAAGGAAGTGGGAAGTCATCGAGACGCGACGTAGAGCTTTCGAGCTTTCCATCTTTCCAAAACGGTGTACGAAGTAAAAATAAAGTTGGATGCGGCGTTGAGCTTTCAAGTTTCCTTCTAAAACAAATAATTTCGGAAGTGAGAAGTTGGAAGCGATCTAGAGCTTTCAAGCTTTTCATCTTTCAAAAATAAAATTTGAAATGTGAATATTGTCAAGTGTCACGCGGACCTTACCCGTATCGTCCTTCAAGATCGTTGGCGGTCATAACATATACTGTCATACCGGTTATAATGCGTTCCCAGTTGGTTCATTATTATCATACAACGATTACTTGAATCTTACAATTTTGGAAATATATCGCAAAAGGATTCTAGTAAAACGACGGTCCCGAGTTGCAGTGAACACAAGTACCGTATAAGCCATATTAAGCACCTTGCACCAATAAACTCTTCTATTCCACCGACCAACTTCTTGACAATCTATAAGTAATCTTTATAAGCTCCCCCTACTAAGACTGAAAGTTTCCATGACAGTCCATATTTTCTTGTGTATATTGCAGGTTTGTTTACAGATGACAGCAGAACAGAAAGGGAATAATATTATTGCCTGACTATAATTATTGAATAAATTTTAGTTTCATCCATGTTTAAGCTAACTTTGTTCACTACCACTTGATCTCTGACAATGATGTCATACAGTGCTGTTGCCACACAAAGCCAGGTTACAATGCAGTTGTTTGTATGATTTTAATAAGTGCCTCCCTTTGTCAATTTTCTAAGCACCTGAGCTTTTATTATACCGAATACAGCACATATAAGTAGAGTATATCGTTAATGGTAACTAGCTATTACACAGACACAATGTTTAAAACTTATTCTTGGTAGGTCAGTGGGTGACCTAGTGGTTAAAACGTTGATAGCCATGCTGAAGGCCCAGGTTTTATTCCCACTCTGGGTTAAATGTAAGCGGCTCCTTTGAGGTTGCGTTGCCCCTTTGTAGTTTCAAAAAGCAATTGTCACTCCCTTGCCAACGTTGCTCCATGTAGCAGAGACCTGTTCACTCACTTTCATCTTGATATTGCAAAGAAATGGCAGTTAAACAAAATAGACATTGATGTTTTTTAAACTATTTATTTTGCATAGCCAACAAGTAAATAACAACCAATAAATAAATGGAAAAAACCCCCATAACAATACTGTTTTACAGCAGTTTTACATGGTGTCACTAACCATTGCAAGTCTAGTAACTAGATAACATTGTTTAATACTTGCTGGTGCTTATAACATTTATTTCAAAAGAATATATATATACCAGTTAAACCCATAGTTACTGGATTATGATAAATTTTGATAAATTATCAATTTCGCATTTTCATTAAAAGTGGAAATAATTTAACTAAACGAAACGAAAGCAAGTTAAACATGCTAATTACATAAATATCAAAATATAACTCCTGCTTTACCTTTTAAAAACATTTGACAAAAAACATCAAACACAAACAAAAACTCCCCATAACCAAACAAGTGGCAATGAAGCAAACATAGTGAGGAGATAAATTGATGCAAGTCATGTCATCCTTGATTATTCAGTGTATCATATCTCCATTCCATTACGATATATAATCTTTTACTGCTCTTGACAACATATTTTCCAGATAAAAGTTATATAAAAACAGTCTGTTAAATATATCAAGTCATAAGAGGCGAGAAATCGAGGTGAAACATTCAGGTGAAAGAGTTGTGGTGATAAGAGAGCTCAAGAGTGTTACATAAACCACCTGAAAACACAGGTAATTTTTTTTTATATGGATATATTATGATATATTCATGATATATCATCAAGTTCCTGTGCCTGAAATGAAGCTATAGTGGTGAATGGGTCCAGGATATTAATCACAACAGAATGGAGATATATATAATACCCTGGATACACAAAGATGGTCAGATGTCGGGGACACTGGAAGATATTGTACAATCTATGAAAATAATATGAGCATTCATCATGCTCGTGAATGTTTTTTCACAAATGGCAATGTTTGAAGAAGGTTTTAAAGTGGCTGAGGAATGACTTTGATTTATCATCTGTTCGACCGAATATGCCAACATCATTAGTTTGCTCGTCACGCCGAAGACCCGGGTTCGATTTCAGACATGGGTACAATGTGTGAAGCCCATTTCTGGTGTCCCCCGCCGTGATATTGCTGGAATATTGCTAAAAGCGGCGTTACACCATACTCACTCACTCACTCACTCACTAACATCATTAAGCTAATAAAAGAAAAATATATTAAGCAAGATTCAGCCAAATCACTAACATCAAAAATATTTCAGCAATGGTGATAAAACATGGCTGACCAGCATAATGTGCTGAGGGGACAACCAGTGAGTGAGTGAGTTGGGTTTAACACCGCTTTTAACATTATTCCAGTTATATCAGGGTGTGTCAGCTTAATGTGGGAGGAAAACCCGAAGTGATGCAGGTCTCAGACATTTACCACTTCAGTGAAACCCACGAGCACAGGTATGGTGCTAACAAACCTAGAAACATAATCGGGGCGAACCAGGATTCAAACTCACAATCATTGGTTTCTGTCGTGCCCAAGGGATGCAACTCTGCACAGCGAATCGCGGTGCCTTAGATGATTGGGCCACCCGTGCCCCCTGGGGACAACCAGAAAAAAAATTCAAAACATGATTTGTCCTCAGGTTTTACCCCTAAAAATAAATTGTGTCAATGTGATTTTTAAAAAACAGTTTTGGCTCTACAATAATAAATAGCATGTTTTGAAGACAGTGGCTGCCAGTGGCTGAACAAATGTCCCTGGCCCCAACAGAATGTGATAAAGGGTGGGTCCTCAAAACAGTCCTGTTGTCAACTGCAACATCATAAATCAACAAATAAAACAAACAAATAAACAACTGAAGCAAAACAAGCATATATGATTAACAGAGTCACATTTTGCTTGCATGGTAACCATGGTAACATCTTCTGGTGGTTAGTGACTGATCAAAACTCCCTGGGCCCTCCAGAATGTTATAAAGGGTGGGTCCCTAAAACAGTCCTGTACTGTAGTCCGCAGCAACATCATAAATTCACTAATAAAACAAACATAAAAGAACTGAAGAAACAAACATCTAACAATCCAGATTAATGCAACTGGGAAATACTAAGAATTTCTTATGTGTCTCTTTTGTTGCGAGCATCAATTTTCCAAAATACATTTAGTCAATTTCTGAGAGAGAAAATTAACAATATTCATAGAAAGTATTTAAATGTCCAAGAGAAAGTGCTGAAATCACCAACTCTGCAATCAGCTTCCAAAACAAATCTATTTGGGTGTGTGCTCTAAAGTGACCAGCACAGCGGTGTCAACTGTTTTCATTGGCTGATTTGTTTGCCGCGATTATCTATCTTGTAATTCTTAGCCGTTATACATATACTGTTTCTGCTGTTTCTGTTACTCCTACTAAAATAACAGCATTGGTGAATGTGTGAAACGTCCTTTGATCTTGACATTGTGAATAATTAAAATGACATTTAACAATCGGTAACTCACGTTTTATTACTAACAGCCTGTTTGGATAATGAAACACCAGCTGCCCTCACCCCTATTCCAAACAATAAAAATGTGTGGATTGCATGAAAAATCACATCACATACATGTTTCCCCACTGATAAGTAAGGTATGATTAAGGTATATTTAGACACAGTTAGACTGTAATCATGGTAATGTTTGAAGCAAAATATTTGCTTGCAGAATAAAAAAGTAGTAAAAATGAGTATCACATTATAGTTCTTCCGACAAACTCCATTTGGCATGAAGATGCCATCTTCCCGAGGCCAGAGAGAGTTAACTGACTTTAAAAGATTTGCAAAGCATGTGCACCGCCAACTCGTTGTCAACAGATATTTTCCAAACCTTTTCATGTTTTTCATCAAGGTGCTCGCGTGATTTGATGCACTTCGCGATGTAAGACCCGTTTTATCATATGAAAGATCTTGATTATCGATCAGATCGTCTTGTCTGGGTGGCACCATTTTGTTTGAAACAAATGGAAGTGATGAAATCGGATTGGTCCATAGGAGAGGCTCAGAAGGGACATAACTCATAATAACCACTGGTGGCGCTACGATCAAGCCCAGGAATTCCAGCCTAGTTCGGCAAGGGTGGAAACTGGACTTTTATAGTCAGTTAACTCTCATGCCTTGGGAAGATGGAAGATGCTTTCGGCAGGAAAATGTTTTGGGCACGGAAAGATAGGTGATAATACAAAATGTCTTTGGTGTGTTACGATGTCCAGTTACAGTTGTTGGAAAGCATGATACGGTGGCTTATGAATGTAAACACGTCCACATCAATAAAAATGGCTACCAGATAAGTCATATTTTTCCATGTTGATGAGGAATAGCGGATCCCTTCTTTCCAAGATGACCTCTGTCCCAATCACTCACACCCTAGCCCAAAGTTACTTATCTTCAAGAGCGAGGTGAGCTTGTCTGTGCTTCCCCATAAGAGGCGGAAAAAACTGTGTGAATGCCACATGACATACCTTTCAAGGACCTTCTGGCTCAAAACACCGCATCTCTGTTGGACATGTGAATAAATGTAGCAACTCCCTTGCCTCGGGAAGATGGTCTTCACTAAAATTGATTGATTTGACAATAAAGTGTCTCAGGGTTCTCTCTGTGTAACTGTGGTTCTTTTTGAGTTTAGCAACTTCATTTTTAAGCAATGGTGTGTTCTCTTTGTGTTATGACACCACATGTTCAGTAGCACTTTCGACTTTGTCCAAACTTTCCAATTTTAGGGAATCAATCCATACTTCAAGTTCAGTATTAGAATTCAAATTAGAGATGTCAACCTGTTTGTAGAATTCTGAACAATTTCTTCCACTATTGACAAAGCATGTCCTGGTCTGGGCCATGTTTTCAAGTGTAGTTCTTGTTCTTCAAGGTTTTGAACAAAGGCATTAACCACACGTGGAGTTGGACCATGACTTGTTTCTCTGGGTTAAATACTGACAGCAGCATCAAACAATACAAGATCAACAGAAGAACAACATATTGTAAATATTGCTTGCATGGTAACCATGGTAACATCTTCTATTGGTTGGTATGATTCTTCAAAAATCAGTTCAGTGATGCTGACCACACGTTACTGACCTGCTGTCAGTTTTATTACAAAAACAAGATCCTTCTAGGTAGGAAAATTTTCTGCAACTTGCACTGGAGCAAATAACCAACCAACCAATATCATGAACACCCTTTACAATACTAATAACTATAACAAAATGACACTAAAACACCAGTAACAATAACAACCTCAGAAGTTTTGTCTGGCCTTTTGGAAGATAATCCACCATGATGACACCCTCAGCATCACAGAACATGGAGGCCATAAGCTCCAGATGAGTGGACAGACTTTGCCTTCTTTTGTGGTGGTTATGTCAAATGGTTCTATTGGTTGGATTTTTGTTTGCACTCAGGCTGGAAGTGATGAATCGAGGTTTCATCCATAGTCAGAGATCGTTGTTAAAACCTTTCTGGATCAGCTTCAAACAGAATTAAAGGCATGTTTTGCCTGGTACATGTCAGATATAAAACCAAAACTTCCCATTATGTCATGTGTATATAATGACAGGTCCCTTGTCACACTCCTTTAACAAAAGATGTTGCCATTATCATGATTAGGTATTATATGCTTCTATAGCATGAGACAAGGGTAATGATTATTGCAGATGTGAATCAACATGGGACTCTAAACAAACAGGTTAAGGACAAATAGGTAACACAGGACTTTTTGGCATTGAGGTATTGGAATATATATGGAGAATGATTTTCTTTTTCATCTCTACTCAGATTTAATACATCCATATCGGACCAGCAATAGAAGCTAACTGTTTTAGTCCACTAGTCCTTATAATGATAACATATAACAAAACCCTTAGTAATGGCAAATTGTTACTAGTCTTTATGATACCTTAACTATTGGGAAGTTTAGCAAGGACTACAGGACTAGTGCCAATTTCTAACGCAAATCTCCCTCTAGAAGTAGATACTGTAGTCACAGATCAACTTCTCTCGGTGCATCCTCGATTATAAAGGGGAATTGTACCACTATTCTCACAAGATAAATACCCTTAATCCATATTAGCCTTCCAACTTATCCTGTTCATTTACATTTATACCAAATAACGATTTAACATCTAAACAATTAATTAAATTATTCTCAAACAAGCTCAAAATATCTTGTAGGTAAGCTCAAAAAAGCTTCCATGCTGAGTGAGTGAGTAAAAGAGTATAACATATAAAAGGTTTGACACTACATGTAACAAAAGCTAGCTACTAGTAGCTGGGAGTATTCTGGGGCCATTGCACGGGTGCTTGAAGCTATGTGCGCCTGTGGTTTAGTAGTAGGAGACAGTTGGATGGATGTGACACTCACATCATTCAGCTGGTAGGTCGTGGAATAAGTCCGAACGTCTCTGGCTGCAAGAAATGAGTCTCGATACAGTGGACCATGTCGTTCAACTCCTTTTCTGTTTCTTCTCGGTCCATTCTGAAGGTCAAGATCACATTTGACAAACATTGAATTAAATTATTTTGTTCACATCATGGAGAGCCACTGATTAAATCTGTGCCAAATGTAAGCCAAATCTAAACTGACCTTCGAGCATAGCTAAAGCAGGGATTTATCCAGACCTGTTCAGAGGCTGGTATTAAGCCCAAAGTCTGCACATACTGCTTAAATCTGTGCCAAATGTATGCAAACTGTAAACTGACCTTAGAGCGCGGTTAAAAGACGATATTCAGCCCAAAGTCTGAGGGCAAATTCCCTTATTGGAATTAAAAATATCCCAATTCAAGTTGTTATAGTTATAACTAATGTAAAGGCTTTTATTTTGCTGATATCATGATGAAAATAGAGCTAAGTTGTTCCTTCTCGTGGCACCCTACACCACTGGGCCACCCATGTCCCCTCAATAACTTACCCTTTAGTGGGTTCTGGCTTGTGTTCAGTGTAGTACTTGATTTTGGGTTCGGTGCCGCTTGTCCGCAGGGTAGCCACACAGCCATTTTCAAATGTGAATGTGATCATCTCTGAGGACTTGCTTGTAGGTAGAATCTGTAAGTCATTGATATTTTTTAATGAAGCAGACAAATCTGTACAATTTGCAGGTATTAGAGATAGGACATTTATGGGTTTAATGCTTTGATATCTTTCAAATAAAAGTTTCCAGTGTTCTGCTCAAGAAGGTGGGATTATGTTGGGCTTAAAACCAATTAGATCAGTATTTCATCTATTTGTGGCATGGCAGTTTAATGTCGGAGGAAGACCCAAGTGATTCGAGTCGGACTTGGCTTGGACTGCAATTCTGCAAAGTGAACTGAGGTACCTTGGACCACATGACCTGTTCCCCCTTCTCTCATCGAGAGGATGTGGAGAGGGGTCGACATGAGTAGTAGCTAATGCTGCACAAGTTGCTGTACTCAAACCTATGATTGTGGGTTCACATCCCATATTTGCCCTGATTATTGTTCTGGGTAACAGAAAGTGGTGTCAAACCAAACTCACTCACTCACTCACTCACTCACTCACTTGGGAAGCATGCCTTGAGTAGGTCTTACAAGAACAAGAACTTCCTGTCATATTTCTGAGTTCAACTCACTGGAACATTATCTGGCTGACTGTTGTCGTAGCCTTTGCCTGTCAGATCTCGAACATATTTGATCTTGTAAGGGCCACAACTTGATGGATACTGAAACAAAAAGTTTGAATTAAATGGTATTCGAAACAACTTGAATATGTAACTGTGACACAAATGTGGCTCTCCAACAGTATGGCAGGGAAATTATGAATATAAGCACAGAAAATATTTTGCTTTGAAAGAAAGGTTTGAGAATTCCCCTATCATTGGTAAAACACAGATTTTTCTTTTATGATGTGTTAGATCCAACACCATGTAAATAGTCGCCATTTTGACTGTTTGAAATTTCAGAGAATCTCCAAATATGGTCATTATCTTTCAGAGTTATTTTCACACTGATGTTTGGGCAGTTGAAAGCATGTGCAAAGATCACATGTTATTCTTCCCATGAACCCTCTGTGAGGAGGGAAGAGTTACCTTTCCTGGACCATCGAAGTTACGGAGATTCTGAAACATCTTGGCAGTAATAGCTGGGTCATCACACCGGAAGTAGGAATTTCGTGACAAGTGATAACCGTATCTGAAACACAAACATCAGAGGCAGGGTAAATCTTTGGAGTATAATTACAAATAACGACATATAATTACACTATTTCAACCATCATGAGAAATTTGTTAAAGAATGCCAACAAACAGGAGGTGATTAAATCTGGGCACTTTGATTGGACAACTAACGAGCATATACTATCAATTATTATCTCGATACAACATCTATAACCTACTTGTTGAAAATCTCTTCCAGCTGTTTAGCCAGAGTTGAGTTGTCGTTGTACAGGAATGTTGCCATCTCTGCCATCACTGCTGCTGCACTCACTCCATCTTTGTCCAGAACCTTGGTGCCGCACATGAACCCTGTACAACACACACACACACATGAACCCTGTACAACACACACATATGAACCCTGTACAACACACACACATGAACCCTGTACAACAAATACACATGAACATTGTACAACACACACACATGAACCCTGTACAACACACACATGCACACATGAACATTGTACAACACACACACATGAACCCTGTACAACACACACACATGAACATTGTACAACACACACACATGAACCCTGTACAACACACACACATGAACCCTGTACAACACACATACATGAACCCTGTACAACACACAGACATGAACCCTGTACAACACACATACATGAACCCTATACAACACACATATAAACCCTGTACAACACACACACATGAACATTGTACAACACACACACATAAACCCTGTACAACACACACACATGAACCCTGTACAACACACATACATGAACCCTGTACAACACACACGCATGAACATTGTACAACACACACACACATGAACCCTGTACAACACACACACATGAACCCTGTACAACACACATACATGAACCCTGTACAACACGAAGACATGAACCCTGTACAACACACACACATGAACCCTGTACAACACACATACATGAACATTGTACAACACACACATGAACATTGTACAACACACACACATGAACCCTGTACAATACACACACACATGAACCCTGTACAACACACAGTCATGAACCCTGTACAACACACAGACATGAACCCTGTACAACACACACACATGAACATTGTACAACACACACACATGAACCCTGTACAACACACACACGTGAACCCTGTACAATACACACACACATGAACCCTGTACAACACACAGACATGAACCCTGTACAACACACAGACATGAACCCTGTACAACACACATATAAACCCTGTACAACACACACACATGAACCCTGTACAATACACACATACATGAACCCTGTACAACACACAGACATGAACCCTGTACAACACACAGACATGAACCCTGTACAACACACATACATGAACCCTGTACAACACACATACATGAACCCTGTACAACACACACACATGAACCCTGTACAACACACATACATGAACTCTGTACAACACACACACACATGAACCCTGTACAACACACAGACATGAACCCTGTACAACACACACACATGAACCCTGTACAACACACATACATGAACCCTGTACAACACACATACATGAACCCTGTACAACACACAGACATGAACCCTGTACAACACACATACATGAACCCTATACAACACACATATAAACCCTGTACAACACACATACATGAACCCTGTACAACACACACACATGAACCCTGTACAACACACAGACATGAACCCTGTACAACACACACACATGAACCCTGTACAACACACATACATGAACCCTGTACAACACACATACATGAACCCTGTACAACACACACACATGGACCCTGTACAACACACATACATGAACCCTGTACAACACACACACATGAACCCTGTACAACACACAGACATGAACCCTGTACAACACACATACATGAACCCTATACAACACACATATAAACCCTGTACAACACACATACATGAACCCTGTACAACACACACACATGAACCCTGTACAACACACACACACATGAACCCTGTACAACACACATACATGAACCCTGTACAACACACATATAAACCCTGTTCAACAAACACACATGAACAAAAAACAAGAGATGTTACCAAATGTGACCTACCAATAGCCTCTTCAAATGCAAAGATGACATGTTTCCCATCATTCTGTCTATCACAAGCCTTGTTAGCAATCCACTTGAAGCCCGTCGAAGTCTCCTGCAGACATAGTAATCAACTACAATTAATTGAGAGAGAGAGAGAGAGAGTCTTTAACCACAAGGATATCCAACTGTGATATCATGTGACTTATATGAAGTAAGTTGGGTGAGTGAGTGAGTGAATTTGAATCTATATCAGTGAGTTACCTAGAGAGAGAGTGAGTTAAACCTTTATCAGTGAGAGAGCGAGTTAACCTATATCAGTGAGAAAGTGAGTTAACCTACATCAAAGATACACCCTTCCTTCTTGGCAATGGTCTGCAGGATCTTGGAGGAAACTGTGCTGGCCACCATACAAATATCACTGTCTGAAAAGATAAATCACTCATATATAAAACCATTCCTGATGAGTCTGTTGAATCATTTTAAAAGAATGAGTAGTGAAATTGTTATTGATCGGCTCATCCTTTCACAAAGAAAATTAGTGTGTTTGGAAGCATTGTACTTAAACATGCAGTTGTCTTTGTTAAATACCAGTAGCATTATTGTGGGGATTATTTCTGCAATAAACATAACATCATCTCTCAGAAGTCACGGACTTACCTTTGACATCTGGGCGACTTTTTCTGAAGGTGAAGAGACTCCACCACCCCAACAGGGCCCCTATCTCATTCCCAGTGAAGATCCTCCACTCACCACTGAAACACAAATAAATTTTTCATAAATTTGAACATCATTTTGGGACTGGTAATTTAGTATAGGGAGGGGGTGTCACAAAAAAATGTCATAGATGGAAGGGACCGGTCAAATATGAAACGGTCATCCGACCTACCGCTATAATAAATGACCAGTACCTCATAGAAGATAATTATTTTAATAACTCTCTATTCAATGAACAGAATTGAGCATGTCTATATATTTAATGAATTTTCTCGACATAATAAAGATGATAAAGAGTAGACTTTATGTCATGACCTTTGACACATCAAAGAGCGAGTCAGTGAGTGAATGAATATTATCTATAACACCACAGTCAGCAGTATTCCAGTTATACCACAGAGACCAACACATCAATAAGTTAGTGAAATCTGTTCAAAACACTGCAGTCAACAGTATTCCGGTTATATCACACCTCAATGTAATTCAAGGACGTTTGGTAGCACTAACCTGGGCTGTTTCTCAGCTACTGCCAGTCTGTCTGCGTCAGGGTCATTGGCCAGGATTACCACGCTTCCATTAGCATCTGCCGTCTGCATTGACAATTTCTGAAACAGCAGAGTTTGTTTGTGAAAGAATACTGCAGACTTAGAAATTCATTTTTTTAAGACTTAACCAGAAGACAAGTGGAAACTTTGTTTCATTTGTCCTCAGAGTTTGTAGCTAGTCCTGCTCGAACGACACAATAATGTTTACTATGTTTACATTTTCTGTCAATTTTATTCAGTTCCAATTTGTGGCTAAAATTGAAGCTATTTAGAATTATAGTCAAAAGGACTACCATAATTGGATTTTTACTTCTCCTCAGTACAATATATTTGCTTTGGTAGAGCAGACGGCTGCCATGTATACTGATGCATAAAAATAAGGGAACACATCGTAATACCACAGAAAATGGTTTACCATCATTGATACTTCACGGGTTTGTATACACTTGTTCCGCAATCGCCTGTGAATATATACAGACTTTATTTTTGACCAACGAATCAAGCCAGGCCTGATTCCAGAGTGTGGTGGGAAGCCAGCGAGTGAACTTACATCGTACAAAAAGTCAGCGAAAATAGACATGCGTCATTACTACACCTCATGTTGGCCATATGTATTCATGGTGGATGGAGTAACATAGGGAAACAAAGCTGTGAAGCATTAACCCGAACAATGACTGAATGGTGAATATAATTGCTAAATATCTATGAACATGATAAACCTGTCTTTGAGGGTAGTGTTATTTTGTTTAGTTCAAAAATGTTGAAATGTAACCCTGATGAATGTCACTAATATTTCAATGTTGATGTCCTGTTGTCGATGTTTATCAACTGTTTTGATATATATGTTGAGGTTTAAGCATATCAAACCATACAAATGCTAGCGAGGAAATTTTTCTGCCTGTTTTGATCTTCATTGCCCTATTTACATAGAAACACAGAAATTGCAAAACATTTGTTTTGATGACAAGAGATGACTTAATAACGAATTGTTCTGAACAATGGAGCAATGTGATGTCATATCTCTCCAACTGCCCAATCAGCATCGAGCATCATTAAAATGCATGTGCAAATATTGGAAAGTTCTAACACTTGTTCAATCCCCATGGTTAATATTTGCTGGACATCTGTGGGTGCATATAATCATCTTTCCGAGTCAAGGGAGTTAACTGACTATTAAAGTCCAGTTTCCTCCCTTGCTGAACTAGGCTGGAATTCTATGGCTCAATCATAACGCCACAAGTTACTATTACGAGTTACATCCCTTCTATGTCCCTCCTACTGACCAATCAAATTTCATCGATTTCGTTATGCGATTTTGTTTGGACTATGCACAGACTCGTTACTCCAGCCAAAATGTAACTCCATAATACCAGCCTAGTTCAACAAGGGTGGAAACTAGACTTTTATAATCAGTTAACTCCCTTGCCTCGGGAAGATGATATAAAATAGGGTGTCAACCTCCTTGTGATTTGCTGGATGATGCAGTGCAGTATGCTGGATGCCAGAAATGTGGAAATGTTTTTATGCCTTATTTTCTTGCAAAGAGTGACAAATCAAAATATATTTAGCCTTTATCTTATGAGCATGCAAGGTCATTAAGGATGGGGCAAGTCAAAATTTATTATCCAGGTACCCAATCCCCTATTACCTGGCCCTACCTGGGTACTCGCTGTAGGTCTCAAGCTGGGTACTAAATGTCCGCCTGAGAATTGTTTTACCGGAGCCTCAGCAAAAACTACTAAGATACACGCATAAAACGATCTGATCATGCATACACTGTAGTTGTCAGAAATTTTATCTTCACTCAAACATATAACAGTCAGAAGGAAACGAGCAGAGTCAGAAAGAAATGCAAACATTCAGGACCCACCTGACCCGAGTACCGGCACCCTCCCAGCCCTAAAGGTCATGCATTTAATGTGAAAATAAACTCTCAGAAAACTCCCAGTACTGACCAGTGCTCCCTTGCCCTCCTCTGGGTTGGGGTATTTCACTGTGGGGAACTCAGGATCTGGCACCACCTACAGGAACACAAGCACATTGGTCCAAATATGTCTCTCACAACAATAACAAACAAGACATGCTATCACATCAAAACATTGTAATATCTACTTTATATTGATAACATCACAACTACAAAATCATCAATAGTCATCAAGATGTCCAAATACTAAATATAACAAACAACGAGAAAGGAAACACCACACTGATCCTGCATTTATATATACAATGTATTTGTTACTTCTTTCCCTGACCTGTTCTTTGACTGGTACAGGAAGAGGAAAGCCGAACCTCTGCAAAGACTCGCACGTAAACTTGTACCCCACACCATGCATGGCAGTATAGGTGAAGGTCACTTTGGAGGACAGATTCTGATCTCTGCACAGAAGATATTCAATTTAAGGTGAGGTGAAATTGGGTTTAACGTTGCGATCAAGTATCATCAACAAGTATCGTCTTTTAATGTCTTTTGGTATGACGTGGACGTCATGAGGGAAGCCTTCAATCTGGATGAGCTGAACTGGTTAATGATAGCATTTGCAATGATACATATTGTCAATAATGGAACCATTGTCCAGGTCATATTGTGGCCACCCAATCCCATTACAGTAAGATTGTGTACTGGTGACGTACTCTGCCCAAGGCCCCATTCCACAAAGCCATCTTAGCACTAAGGTGATCGTAGCTCCTATATTTTAACACTGGCTTACGATAGTCGTATCGCTAAGATCGCTTTGTGGAACGGGGCCCAGGACTCCCCCAGTGCCTGACACAAGATACCTGAAGTGACAGAGATGATGGAGATCTTTGTTGTACAGATCAAATATCTCATCGTAGGGATCCCTCAACAGCTTGCTGTCAGCGACACAGGATGTATCCCAGGACGTGGGGAAAGGCTCAAGATGTTCTCTGATGGACGTCGCAATACCCTTGTCGATCGGAGGAATGATCTATAAGAAATTTATATTCAAGAGTGAGTGGTTTGGATATGATGCTGCTTTGAACAGTGTTTCAAGCATATCATTATATCAAGGCCCAAGTGATAAAGGTCTAAGACGTTTACATATTTGGTGAAACCCATGAGCAAGGGTATGGTGCAGATGAACCTAGAAACGCAATCAGGTTGAATCAGGGATTTGAACCCACAATCATAGGTTTTGGCATGACAAATGGATGCTAATTGCCGGCCACATGTGCCCCCTTATGTTAAAGAACATGATGAAGACAACAATTAAACTGATTGTCTGGCCTGAGTGAAACAATATTTGTAGATTCCCAGCTGTGTCTTCTTCCTTAAGCCTACTTCATAAATGTTTTTGTTTCTTATTGTGTATTTTCGACAAACAGATTACCATTCATAGGTTGAACTAAATACAAGTTGATGGATGCGAGCTAAGCATGGAGTATCAACACATTAATGTTCCAGCCATTTACTGAAGGGGGACTCAAAGTATGAACTTCACAGATGTCATGACATTTACCCATGTCAGAAAATGATTCTTTTGCATGATAAGCAAACTGTTTAACTAGAGCCTGTTAATCTGGAATGTTACCTGTAAACCCAGTCTGTTACCTGTAAACAGTGTCTGTTACCTGTAAACCGTGTCTGTTACCTGTAAATATTGTCTGTGTCCTGTATTTCAAGGTACACCATTGGGATATGAAAAATTATTAAAACTAACATTCACTTTGTGAGAGTTCATTGGAGTATGAACCTTCATAGAGTGATGGCCAAAGTGTATGAACGTCAGATCTTGACCAACTGTATAAAGGTTCGTACTCCAATGATCACACACAATGTGAAAATTAATTCTTATAACGAAGTCAGCTACCTGAGCTCCATTTGTCCAGTATATTTTATAGCCATTGTCTTCCTTTGGGTTGTGAGAGGCAGTGATCATGATCCCACATGAAGCTCCATAGTGCACCACAGCATACGGCTTGAAGTATAGGTACAGAATATACAGTTAGCAAGTCGTCATTAATACCAGGATGTGTGCAAAGGTTCACCACATTCACTGATGGACATCGCGACTCAAGCCAGCAAGAGTAACCACGACTTCTTCCACCCTGAATTTGGAAATTACTCAATTCTGCGTGGTCAATCAGAGTCCTCAAATAACAATAACCACCTCTGATTGAAACAGGCAATTTGACAATCACTGAAGTTAATATTCATGGAAAAATACTTCCTTATCAGTCATTATCAGTAGGCATTTTTAAAATAGGTTTACCCGGTATGACAAAATGCAGAGTTGCTGTTACAAACACGATAGATATCGACTAAGAGAGTGAATTTCAATTTTTAGGGACCACAGAGAACTTGAAATTTGGCGCTTTCTTCTGTATACTAACTTTCACTAATGGCTATAATTGAGGTTTGACTGCCCACTTACTCAATCCATTTGTGTTCAATTTTGTCACAGTAGAATGCAGATACAAATATTGTCTACAATGTGGAGCTAGGTTACCTGCTGATTTAACCATGCTACACATTTGAAACCTCCCACTGGTCGTGACCTAGTTCCACATTGAAAACACAGTATGTTTGTCTCTTTATTGTGCCTGTATTTCCATCATAAGATCATGACAGGGGTAGGTAAATGTTCTGCTAGGTAGGTACATGATCACAGGAGACTCACCACATATGGAGTAGGGCAGATCTTAGAGTACTTGTAGACTGGCACACCTTCGTTGATACATATGGTTGCAACCAGCTCACTCCATCTAAACAACGAAGAGTGTGTGAATTGGGATTTACATCAAGCTAGCAATAATTCAGTTGGTGATCACATGACGATTGTTTCTGGAGTGAGTTGAGTGAATGTTGTTGCTGTGCTTTTACTTCTGTTTTGATACGTCACCATGTGAAGATGAGATAAACTCTCAATAGGTTATCATGTCAGGTGAACTTTCTAATCAGCCAATCTGAGTGGAGGCTTCTAAATTCCCGATCGGAGTGAGCATGGGCATTCGGAGCTGAACATCTCATTTCTATATCTCAAAAACAAATGTAAACAGGCAGTTCCGAGTGGAGACTAGAACAAAAAGTTTTCCTCAGTTCCATGGCATCACACCCAAAAGATGCTCTATCGAGGGAACATTTGTGTTGTCACTTCAGTTCTGGACGGAATTAACTTCAGATTTGGGAACAGACACTGTGATTGACAAATGAACTGTGTTGATAAAATTTAGAATATAGCTTTAGATTACCGCACTATTGATCTTTATTGCCACAGCTATGAATTTACAACAAACACTTTACCAAACTTCTACTACGCTAATCAAACATTCCAACCAAACAAATTATTGTCACGCAAATCTGGGACTTAAGCACCAAACCAGGGAACACTGGCCTCAACCTTGTCTACAGTGGATTGTTAAGGTATCAGTGATATATTTAGAGTTGTCTTTACTTACTTCTGACTGTTGTGTCTGGCATCGTATCCCACCACAACACCGTTCTTCTTGGCATTCGGAACCGTCGCTATAAGGTATTTCACCAGACCCTGATCAAGGTGATTAAACAAATTATGACACTGAAGTTTGAATTACAAATTTTGTAATTGACAAATTTAATTCACCATGAATAAGATTTTCATAAACATCATCGAGTAATTACAAAACAATATGCCCATTAGTTACAGACAATCAGTGAAGTACCTGAAGTCTGTATTTGAAATAATATTTGGTAGTGAAGTGGCCATTTTGAATTTGTGACAATCAAAATCTTATTTCGATGTAGCCAGGGACATGTACGTTTTGAAATATTAATATGATGTCAAAATTCACTATTGATAAGTCCAGGGACCCATTCCACAAAGTGATTTTAGCGCTACAGTTGTCTTCAGTCTATGTTAAAGTTTGGGATTTGTTATCATCTTAGCACTAAGATAGCTTTGTGGGATGGGGGTCAGGATGTTTGGAGAACAACATGATACAAGTTGACAAGTGCAGTGAAAGCAGACAGAAGGTGAAAACACATATGACATAAGCTCCTGTTTGATGTCAACAACTCGTCAAGTTGAATAGAAAGTGACATTTGAGCAATACTACTGGTAGACATAATTCAAGTTGTTTCTTGGCTGGAGTATTTGTTTGACAAGACTTACCTGTGTTGCTTGGATGATCGTGAGGTCATTCATCATGGAGTAGCCAGCTCCCATCCTCGCCCGAAGACCTGAGCCACAGAAGACACACAGTCATCACAGCACCACAAGTGCATCCTTTACGATTAAAAGTTATCTCTGCAAATTTCCCAGTGTTTCTCATGATATATGAAACTGTGTCCCAAATTAGAGGTTTGTGAAATTGGGTTCATGTCCTGTATAAAAAACATATAACTAAATCATTTGAAGACATGTTTTCAACAAAAATAACAATTAATTGACTGTTTATCAAGCTAACAAACACAAATTGTTTTCCAAAATAAAATCGTATTAGAATTTTTTTATTTCATTTTTATTTACACTAGCTGTGTATACTGATATGACACAAGAGTTTTTAAATTGGATTCCAAGACTCCAGCTCTTCTTCAGTAGATGGTGTTTACCCACTTCTACATCTACTCTGTAACGGTTTCAGATGTAACTACTCGCATAGATCTGCACTCTGACAAGTTTACCAACCTGCTGTGCCAAACTCCATCCTCTGAAGCAGGCGTTTCTCCAATTCGGCAACATTCTTCTCCAAAGCCAGTTGTCGGATCTCGGCACGATTCTTATCATTCTACAATAGAAATAGTTGCAAAGAAAATAGTTCTGGATGTAGTATTGCTCGACTTTTAGCACTCTTTTGTTATTTATAAGTGAATAAGTGAATCAAACTTTAATGTTGCTTTGAATATTTCGGCATGTCAGCTTAATGTAGGAGAAAATGACACAGGTGATAGATTTTTGCAATTTGGTAAACAGGTACTGTGTTGACTGACCAAAAATCATTATCAAGAAAAAATCCAAACTACAATTTGTGGATCCTGGCATGAGAAAAAGCACAACTCTGCTGTGTGTGACTCAAACTGCTGTACCACTATCACGACTTTAACCCAAATATCTATAGAGATATTCAAGCAAAATACAGAGAATAGCTGCAACCAGTGTAATCATCAGGTATTAGCATAAGGAAAATTATAATGGTTAGCAGAATAATGTTTGCCAGTCAAACAGACAGTTTGTTATTCAGTTACAGTCCATGTACATAGTAAACAATTTTTCAAAAGAAATTTTGCTGTCAGTACATAACATATTAAATCTGAATACCAAGATACAATATATAATTTCCAGTTTAGAGAGTCCGTTTTCAGAAAACCAAGAGAGCTGAAGGCCCTCACATCTTTTACAATTATTATACTGGCAATTGTATAAATAACGTAAACATAATAGTTTGTCCATGACTGTACTGACAGCTGTGTTCTGAATACCGTATTCACTGTAATGAGTGCATAGGGTACTTAGAAAATTTACAAAGGAGAGCACTTATTAAAACCATACACAACAAGTTAAATTTGTTTTCAGAGATTGATTGGAAGTGAACAAACTTTGTTCAAATGTGTAATATGCACAAGACAATACGGACTGTCATGTAAATTTTCAGTCTTATAAAGGGGTGCTACAAAAGATTAGTCAATTGAAGTATAAGATGGTCAGGGGCCCATGTGCGACATACGCTTGCAGTCGGAAAGCGCACGATAAATCTCCAATATAAGTAAGTAGGTAAGTCAGGGGGCACTTATTGGAGTGAGGTGTGTAATACTGCGAATATGATGTACTGTCTGAAATTTTGGCTGTTTAACACAGATATTACTCTGGTTATTTTGTCTTCTTGATTGACAGTTCAAAATACCAGGGTTTGAAATAGTAGCCATTAATTTCACTAACAGGCCTACAAATTATTTGATAGCCCTTATTTTCAGAGTAGGGCTTGAGACTTTTCAATGGGCGATCTTTTTGTTCCAAAGGGCAATAACTCTCCTTTTGAAATGATATAAGCGACGGTCCAAACTGTCGCTTCCGGTCTGGTTCCCGGATCAATGCGCGCTGCGACAACGACTGACATGTAGAGACGGAGCCAAGCTAAAGAGTTATCCTGTTGCACCTGCGTTCAAAAATGGTCGTTTACAACTGAATATTTTTAACTAGCACATATTTTGTAGTGATTATTAGTTTATAATATCAACATTTGTTGAGTCTTCAACTACAAGACGAATTGTCACTTTGGAATATAGCGTGAAAAACGTCATGAAAAATGGTATATTGCCACGGTATTTTCTACGTCAGAAAACAGCGAGACATTAGTCAGTCTGGGCTAACATATTGCATCGATGAAATAATGCAAACTCATTTTATTTATCAGCCTTTGTGTTATTTCCCACAACAATTCAAGCATTCAAATCTCAACAAATACTACCATGGACTTCAATGTAATAAAATTAGTGATACGCCAACATTTGCGGCACACAGACATCTTTGACAGGCCTTTACCAATGATCTATATAGTAAGTATACATCCGTGCCTTTACAAATATTTTAAGAAGAAATAACGTTCACAATAATAAAACAACCGATTTTAAATGTATCTTTTTATATCAAAATTAAAGTTGCATCTGAATATTTAAATTTACATTATTTTTTTAAGAAATAGGCCAAATGAACATCTACCATGCATCTATAAAGCACTCAGTTACTCATTTGCAATATACATACCAGCCATCATTCTTTGAAATAAGAGATTTACCCATATCATTCTGCCCCTTATAACATGTGTCCCACCATTAAGTGCTCTGAGTCATCACAAGTGTTAATTCATTGATCTATTATTTCTTACAGAATTCTGATACTCATGCTCTTAAAATAGTAGTTAATTACAGAGATGTGTCCCAACAAACAACAAATCATACTGACTACCCCACAAAATGTGTATGATGCATAAATAGATCTAAATCATAGTTTTATCTTCTTGTTTTAGTAACATAATATTTATTTTAATGTTGACAAATTATTTCCCATACAAACCCACACACTATCCTGCTGTATCTAAGTATCCTGATTTTCATTCAACAGTACTTCAAGACACCTGTAGTATAAAGTATATTTATATGAAAATATGAATATGAAAGTTTATCATCAAATCTTCTGATGGTTAAATAAATGCAAATTGAACCCCACAGTCATTCCATGTAGATAAATGGATTTATTTATGTTATTTGTATTTGCATATAACAGATTATACTTACATATGTTACAGTCAGTGTCTATAATCAGGCCCAATATGTATTTTGACTGAAACTTTCAGTCAATATGCATATTGACTGATTCACTCAGGTAAGGCATATTTTTTCTTAAATTTTCATTCATTTATTATTGCCTGAAAAATAGGACCGGATTTTAGACAGACTGGCTGACAAATTTAATTTGGATCTATTTTCATCTTATCAAGATCAAAGTAACTTAAATTATGTAAGAAATTAAAAATGTTTTCACAATGAATTGATTGATTCTCCAAACCTGAAAGAATACCAGAGTCCATTTTTAATGTTACTTATCTTTATTAGCATAATATTCAGTTCAGAAACAGATGACAGCTAAAAAGTCATGCATGTGTAATCAAATACTAGTACACATGCACACGTGTGCCATGATATTAAATAAAACAAGTATTTGTCACAGAGTGACGAAATATCCCCCGTCTGTACACCATAGTACCAAATATGAAGACAATCCAGCGATTAGTTCTTGAGATATTGTGGCAACACCGTTTTCCAACTCCAAAAACAGATTTGCCTGCTGTGACCTTGAAAATGGGGTCAAGGTCACCAAATCTGACAGGTGTATGCGGTGTCTGTATATACACTATAGTTCCAAATATGAAGACAATCCAGCGATTAGTTCTTGAGATATCGCGGCAACACCGTTTTCTAACTCCAAAAGCAGATTTGCCTGCTGTGACCTTGACAATGGGGTCAAGGTCACCAAAACCGACTGGTGTCTGTGGTGTCTGTATATACACCATAGTTCCAAATATGAAGACAATCCAGTGTTTAGTTCTTGAGATATCGCGGCAACACCGTTTTCCAACTCCAAAAGCAGATTTGCCTGCTGTGACCTTTAAAATGGGATCAAGGTCACCAAAACCGACTGGTGTCTGCGGAGTCTGTATATACACCATAGTTCCAAATATGAAGACAATCCAGTGTTTAGTTCTTGAGATATCGCGGCAACACCGTTTTCCAACTCTAAAAGCAGATTTGTCTGCTGTGACCTTGAAAATGGGATCAAGGTCACCAAAACCGACTGGTGTCTGCGGAGTCTGTATATACACCATAGTTCCAAATATGAAGACAATCCAGTGTTTAGTTCTTGAGATATCGCGGCAACAAACAGGTGGGACGTACGGATGGACGTACGGACGGTAGTGAATACTATATCCCCCGCTTCGCGCTTTCGCGCGGCGGGGGATAATAATAAGAGTTATTGTGCGATGCAGATATCTTTTGGTGTGAAGAGAAAAAAGAAAAAACATTAATAATTTGTTTATGTTGGAATTTGGAACATCAGTTTAGAACAAGGAAACATAAAAAGCTTTAGAACAAGGAAACATAAAAAGGAAGGCCTAATGAAGTTAAGAATCAGCTTTATCTGTGTCACAATCATATGATTATTGTCAATGCAAACTGGATGTAGACACTGCATTGTTAATACAATCAACATTATAGAGATTGGCAATTAGTATGAATATATTGTTTTATTTTATGAAAATTGTAGTTGGTACAAATACTCTTGAATATGTATTTTAACTAATATATAGGGTCCTCTGTGTCTGAATTTTTTTTTCTACTTTGTAAAATTAAAAAAAGGCCAAAATAATATATATATATTTCATTGATCATATTGAAATATAATCATGGTAGTATTTGGCAACTTCCATTTCTTTTATTTTGAACATTGTATCATGAAATCTAGTTGATGACGTAATTTTACAGTGCCTGTTACTCTTACAATTTCTTGAGAACATTTCTCATTGCTCTCTGTTATATATCTGACAAATACTTACGCTCGTACATGTGTTGCTGTCAATATTCACAACATTGAGGCTACGGGCAACGTCGCATGAGACCTTCACATTTCGCGTACCGTATCGCCTCACCGTTGTACATACTGAAATGCATGCATATGATGTAGCCTGCACGACGAAGCTACAACATAGATATAGGAACGTATACAAAATCTACTTAATTTTCATATTCATACATCAAGGCCAACACTTTCAGTACCGATTGCAAAACGTCAACAAAGCGACCTGGGATGAACGATCAGCTGATCTCGCTGCATCGCTTCGAACGCCATATAGTGGGTAACTATACAATACAATCAGTCGTGGTCTTCCCTGATGTATCATTAAATCAAGGAACATTTATTTCCGGACATGGCAATAGATAAATCATTGTTTAGGCGAAAAGATATGCTGTCCACACACAAGCGTGACTGTTGCCGACAGAGGTGAAGGTTATACTAGTTAACCGTCTATTAGGCGTCATAGTAACGTGTAGTGCTCGTATCGCGCATACCACATGCGCCGTCAGTTTAAGGTTGGACCGTCCGGGTCAGCGCACCTAGCGGGTTAGTGAAGGGAAGATAAATTGAAAAAGATCGCCCATTGAATCATGATTCTGCCTACTATTTATCTTGCCCACCAGGAATGCCTGGTGACACTCTAATACAGACCCCAAAATA